AATAGGTTGATATAATGAAACATAATTCAGATATCACTACTGATGTCTTTTATCATGGAGAGCAAAAGTCAAAAGTATTTCCAAATTCATCACCTCTCACGCACTATGATTTCTGTATGTACATATTTTTGCACATTCCAATGTGATGTCTATGCAATATTTTGAAACATTGCAGCAATAACACTTACCTATCCTGCAGCCGCACATGTTTCTTAACTTCCTGACTCTTGCTGGTAGCCTTCTCCATTCCTGCTTCCAGTTCTTCACGTTGCAGGCTGCTGGAACTATTGATTCTGAAGCATACTGAACAAGCCAGGACCATGCTGTGCCAGCAAAGGATTCTTCGTCTTAAGATATGAGGGGGGAGAAGCCAGTGGAGCCCCAAGAGCTGGTTCTATGTAGGTCAATGAGTCCATGGACATAAAGAAGTTCCTGGATACCCATAAAGAAGACCATTCATTACCAAGGGCTCCACTACCCCAATGCCTGCCAGTCAAGCTCTTCCCCGGGGGGGAGGGGGGGCAGAGACGGGATAGACAACTCATATTAACATGATAAGCTTTACATGCAGCAGAAAGAGATATTGTTCTAAATGCTGAACATATCCGTGACCTTGGTACATGATAAAAGAGCACAACAAGATTATGTGACTGCAAGAAAAAGCAAACGTGTGCATTAAGACATACCCACACTGTAGGGGGAAATTACTCTCAAGGATCTACATTTCCTATTCCAATTTCCAGGAAATGTAGGTTCTCTGGGTATTTTAGACTGAGAAATGTCCCAGGTTGTAGAAAGCTAAACAATATTATCACATACATGTGCAATTGCTATATTAAAACCTGTGGATAGCAACCTGAGGAACAGATATGAATTCTCAGCTCACGAGAGTCCAGTTTATGTATTTAATTTGTTTATATCTGTTATTTTCTTCATGAATAGGATGTCTCCGCTACCATGAAGATCAGTTGCCAAAGGCTTGCCTGAATATAACTTGCCCTCCAATTTATGCATACCACAGGTCAGTTTAGAAATACAGTAGAGTCTCACTTATCCAATATACATGGGCCAGTCAAATGTTGGATAAGCAAATATGTTGGATAATAAGGAGGGATTAAGGAAAAGCCTATTAAATGTCAAATTACATTATTATTTTATGAATTAAGCACCAAAACATCATGTTTTACAACGAATCAACAGAAAAAGCAGCTCAGCACAGTAACGTTATGTAGCAATTACTGTATTTACAAATCTAGCACCAAAACATCACAATGTATTGAAACAGCTGTGGATCTGGGCGGAAGGCAGGCTACACTGGATAATACAGAACATTGGATGAGCAAAGGTTGGATAAGCAAGATGCTACTGTACTAAAGGTTGATAAGCAAAGAGACATACAAATAGGTTGATATAATGAAACATAATACAGATATCACTATTGGTGCCTTTTATCATGGAGAGCAAAAGTCAAAAGCATTTCCAAATTCATCAGAGGTTATAGAAAAGAGATTACTCCTCTGCTTAGCTCCAACACTGCCTTTCTCCTCCTCTTCCTCCCACTTGTAACAAATATGTTAACCTCCCCTTTCCCTTTCCAGTGTAGCCAAGTAGATCTCAACTCACCCAGGATTGTTGTCAAAACCCTCATGTCCCCTTGAGGTGGTGATGAGGCTACAAAAACTGAGCATACAAGGTGAAAAATAAGCCAAGTGAATACAGGAAATTCCTTATCACCAAGCTAGTAAGTTGCTCATGACACTTCCCCCTCTTGCTCCACCCTTGCAGCCACCCACACACATACTGGCCACAAACTTCCATCCGCTATCTGATCTGCTAAGCCCCAAGTGCAGAGCTGGAGAATCACCTCTGTGTCTTTCACCTAGAACTGCCATCTGGCAGTTATTTGAACAACCTACTAGAACCTGATGTATTTCTTAATGCATATTACCCAGTATCTCATAGATGAAAACTGGAACTCATGGGGCCAAGCAACATCAGAGTGTGGTCAAGATTACAAAAGTTATGAATTTGAAGACACAAGCTAAGAGAGGCTGCAGCAGGTTGCCTTTGCCTGACCCTACTAGAAAAGGTTTCTCCACCCGCCCCTTCACTGTACTGTTCAATTAATGGAGTGCAAATTACTATTGCACTTTGAACTCAATTTTCAGCAATTGAAGTAAACCAAGAGAGAAAAAGTTGAAGAGAGGAGAGAAACAGTTTTAAAACAGTTGAAAAAGTGGGACAATTGTGGATTAATCAGAACGGGAACTGCCAAATCAGGACAGTTGAGTAGTATGGAAATAGGCAAGGAACAGTGGAGAATGCTATCAACTCTTGACAGCCTCATGGTACAAAATGTGCACATTTGTGTTTGGTGCTGCCAAACACATACTGAATGCCTGGGAGTATATGCTCCTTTTGCACCACTGATAATCCAGTCTTGTGCAAGGGTGAATAATGTGACAATAAAAAAAATATCATTGGGTTGAAATATGAGTCACATTCTGACATTAGACCCTAGTTATCAGGAGAAGCCAGATTTGTGGCTCAAACAGAAATGGTGTGTGTAGATGTTGATAGTGAGATAGTATTGTTACTAATAAGCATTTGGTCTCCCATAACAGGAGAGTATTTACAGATTAGACATTAAAAGGCTCCTAAGCCTCTCATAGAACAATCCTATACATGGGTACTCAGAAATATGTTTAATTGTATTTGACGGTGATTACTCTGAGGCATGTGTGCATCAATGTTGCAGCCCATGGTATCCACTTGTGTATTCCACAAAAGGAAGAAATGTATTAAAAGGAAAGAAGGAAAGAAGGAAAGGAGGAAGGAGGAAGGACAAGAACACATTTTCATAAAATTGGTATGCTAAAATTTACATATCCAGATGCAAATTTGGCAACAGTTGCTATAATATAAAGAACATCACTATACATCTGACAGCAGCGAGAGAGTTTGATTATCTATCTGCTAGGTTTGCTGAACAGAATTATTTTTTTATGTCAGGAACGAGAAACTGCAAGTCGCTTCTGGTGTGACAGAATTGGCCGTCTGCAAATTGCCCAGGGGATGCCCTGATGTTTTACCAGCCTGTAAAGGAGGGAAAGCAAAAAAGAAAAAAAATCTGCAAATTGCCCAGGGGATGCCCTGATGTTTTACCAGCCTGTGAGAGTCTTCTCTCATGTCCCCGCATGAGAAGCTGGAGCTGACAGACAGGACCTCACCCCGCTTCCTGAATTCGAACCACTGACCTGCTGGCACAAGAGTTTAACCCATTGCACCACCGTTAGCTCCTGCTGACCGGATGCTATCTGTGGATGGGAAGCATCTGCGCTCACATCTTCCTCCTTTTCTCCTTTGGCTCTCCTAGCTTAAGGGTCTTTAGCTTTAAGACAGAATACTCTTCAGGTGGAGGGCATGTTCAAATGACTGTGATATATATAGAGTAGGGCGGGGGTGGGGGTGGGAAACATGGATACCCGTTTGCAACTTCACATACCAATTACATCACATGTCAATGTAGTTACTAAGGGGGCCTCCTCAGTGCCAGATTTACCATTGTGTTTTAGGTGTGCTTAAGCACTGGGCCCTATTGGCCCGGGGGGGGGGGGGGTCTTTCTGCCCAATTTTTTTATTATGGGTTTTGCTTATGTAGTGCAATTCTAAATTTGAAAGCATTTTGTTTCAGAGCAATCCCAGACATAATGGTAGTCTATGGAAGTGTGCCACAAAACAGGCAGTGTAAGCCTAGTGGGCCTACCTCCTCCTTTAGGGCTCAAGGAAGGGGGCCTCATAACTTAACTAGCACAGGGCCTCATTTGTCCTAAATCCGCACTGAGTTTCCTCCTCTGCAGTCTTTTAAACAGAGGCTAGTCGCTAGATGGTCATGTGTTGGGTGTGCTTTCATTGTGTATGGCAGCAAGGGCTGGACTGGATGCCCCCTGTGGTCTGTTCCAGCTATGCTTCTATGAATACTGAAGAAAAATGCTTGTCATTACAGTGTACATTCTGGCCAGTTAAACCCAGTTAAAAGAAATTTACATGTAAAAATGCCCTTGAAGCACCAGCCAAGTGATATATATGTTATGGGGTAGTGTTTTATATTCAGATAATATGAAACATTAAGGGAAAACTGAGTCTTGGGGACATCTACACTGTAGAAGCATTTAACTGTCATGGCTCAATGCTATGCAATCATGGAGTTATAAATCTGTTGTCTGAAATCATGAAATCTTGATGTGCAGCAGCTCCGGATCAGGTCAATGAGACATACAGCAGGAGTTGCAGGCAGAAAAGAAATCAGTTTATTCAGCTCTGGCCATAGTGGACAATGGGGCAGTTCCCAAATCTAGCATGTCTCTCTGATCCAAACAGGAATATATTATAGGTAAGTTTCACACATTTGGAAACATGACGAATGGAGGCAATTGGTGAAGTTCTCAAGACTCATGTTTTCATTGGACCTGGAAGCTCATCCATGCCTGGCTGTAGATTGGCTGAAAGTGTAAATGTCTGTGGTTCCCAATCACTTATTGGCTGAACAGTTTGGCAGGAATTTCAATAAACTATCATTGGTTGAATTTGAAGCATGTCTGCTACCTGGTGTGTCGCCTACATTGAAAGGCCTGGAATGGAATATGGGCTGGGAGCTAATGGGCAGTCGAGGAGATTATCTCTGAAGACACAGTTACCAAGTCTGGGATAATGGGATCTCTGGAGCCTGTGATGGATCCTGGGATTCAGAGACAATAGGAGCTCATGTACTCTGATGGGTGTCACAGGCATGACACAGAGGTGAAGAGGTGGGTGAATGGACTGTTTGGTTCCTGCTATGTTTGGGACCTCAGGAGAAACGGTCAATATTGATCCCTGCTTATAGTGATGGTGCAAGTATAGGGAAATGTATGGAGTCAGACCCCTGAGGGAGCCTCCCTTTGGGAGAAAGGGCAGAGTGGGAACCCAGAAGGGCAATATATCCATTCCTTGCTTCTTGGGTTTTTTTTTTAGTCTTCTCTGCTAAAGAATATTGGTGCCTCACCAAACAACAAATCCTAGGATGGAGACATGGCAGTTAAAATGGTGTCAAGGTGCACCCCAATGGTTCTCCTTATTATATTTGCTCTTTATAACCCTAGTGCTTATTCCCATTACAGTCTTGAAAGAGGATTATTAAATTAATTCATCTGTCTGTATACTAGATAGATATTTGGTTTCTGATACCTATGAAGAACTAGCCATTCCTATTTATTTATTTATTTATTTACTTACTTACTTACTATATTTATATACCACTTTTCTCATCCTGTGGGGACTCAAGGCGGTTTACAACATACTAATGACAAAAATTCAGTGCCAATATAGATGTAGACAGAAAAAATCATAATAACTTAACACTAATATATAACTATAAATTAAAATCATTAAAACCATTAAACATGAGACATAAACAACATTTAAGCATTTAAAAAACATTTAAAACACCCTAGTATAAATATTAAAATCACATAATCCAAAAGTCATATTCCTATGCTAATTGACTAACAAAAAGTGCAACATTTGCAGCCAGGCAAGTGAAGTTAGCACTGTAGCTCAAGGCAGTATTTTTCAGTCTGTGATTTTAGGATTCTTGTGAAATCTAAGCTCCTTGCTGAGCGCCTCCACTCTCTCCGTGGGAGGTTTGGTCCCCTAAAGGATGATGCTTGTCAGATCAATTTTAAAACCACTTCTTTCTTGAATCTGAGCGTGTTGTGTAGAGGTAAAGAAATTAGAGCTAAAGTAAAGAAACCAGAGGCTCTGCTTGAATGCAGTTGTTTCTCTGGTCAAGTAAATTTTCTTACTTGCACCTGTCAACCTATTCATTTCATCAGGCTTTCTTAGGCAAGGAATACCCACACATGATTTTGCTAGTTCCTTCCTCTGAATTATAGTCCACAGTCCCTAGTATTCATTGGTCATCCCCCATTCAAGTACAAATCCGGGTCAAATCTGCTCAGCTTCCAAGATCTGACAGGTTCTGCTACGTGTATAGAAAAGATAGGACAGAAATATACTGACACAAAAGAATGTGTCAAAACTAAATTATTTAAGGTGGCAAAGTCAAAGGAAGTCTGCAGAGAATGATGTAGTAATATAATTGAGCAACACAACATCAGTTGAAACATATTACAGTTCAGATCTAGCATAGATAACGAACTGTTAGTTGGGCTTTTTTCCATTGTGACCAATACAGTGCTAGATTTAAAACAAGCCACAAGCATACTAGAGAAGGATGTGGGTAGAAATGTAGACGGCATGTTCAGCAGACAAAGGTCACGACACATGTAACTAGAGTTACATGAAAGCATGAAACAGTAACTATAAATTAGCGATGTATTAATGATGTATTAGGTAGCCTTATCTTCAAATTCAGCCTTAAGTTTAACAATTCTGAAAACAAAGAAAATTAGGAAACACCCAAAATTTCCAAGTAGGTTGGTGAATGAGACAATGAAAAGTCTGTGCAGAAAAGCTGTACTGTTTCAAGAGACTCTGCTGCCTGTGTTGATCCAGGAAATAGCATTTTCACCCATTCACTCAAATAATAGTGCATCATATCCAAATGTAGGCATATTACTTTGGCACACAATGCAGGAAAGCTTCTAAGCCAGTGGTCCTCAATCTGTGGGTCCTAGATGTTTGGTCTTCAACTCCCAGAAATCCTAACAACTGGTAAACTGGCTGGGCTTTCTGGGAGTTGTAGGCC